ATAGTATATATATATATATATATATATATATATATAGCATTAGTGGCTGTAAAATAGTTCGACTCTGCATTCGACCACTGGAAGAGTGGTGGTGGGTTGGCAAGCTAATGCATTTCAATCACCACAGCAAGTGTAAACGTGTATGGCCGATACTACGGTACGGTAAGGTGCAACATTTATGAGTAATGATAATGTCCCAAATGAAAAGTGCATTTACCTGTCCTGTTCCTAATAAGCCCTTTTCGCAAACGTTTGACACCATTGAAACTATTGCGAGTTTCTAACATGTCGGAATGTTAATCTATGATTGCGCATGCACAGTCTGCTGGTCGCGTGTATAAATTTGATTCTTTACATAGCAGTTCACTGCATACACATTTGCAGCAACAAGATACAAGTTAGTCCAGTGCTTAAACTACATTGCGGATGTCATTTCACGATTAAAATTTCCACGTGACTTTACATTAAAGACGTACATGTTTTATACAACCTTGGTGTCAGAGTGCTGTACAAATTGCAGTTCAGGTTTGTTGAATTCCTGGTGCACTATACTTATGCAGATTTATGGTGAATAAATATGGGAATAAATCACATAAAATCTTGTTAATGAAGATTATTTATTCACTGTAATGAAAGATGTGTTTTCTGTAATTATAACATCTCGATGTGTTCCCAGACAGTTTAAATAGGTCATTCTGCATTCGTGAATGTCTTTACCGTGACATATGAGATCAAGAATCACAATCAGATCATATATTTTATTATATTTATGACAAGCTTTGTATTGTATTGCACTATACCAGAAAAAACATAAGTTATAACTTTACTTCGATGACTACTGGTCAGGAATTAATAATGAAATGATGTCTGTCAAATTGACAGGCTGACTGATTTGAGGTACTAACTGCATTGCATATGCTGTTTTTATATCAAAGACCTGTTACTTATGCCGTGGATTGTGGGGAATAATAATAATTTTAAGCCAACATTCATGTTTACAATGAGCCTCGTTTCAATCATGTTTGTTCGTGCGTATTTTTCACAATTGTGTGCATAATTCAAACACACTATATTAGAAACACAAATGATATATGGTGTTCATTTTGGCGTTTTTTGCCAATTTATTATAGAACTTGGTTCAACTTCGCAGCAATTTGTTTTCAAATTCGCAAATAACAAAGGAATTCTCTCACAAATATATTATATGTGGTACATTTAGATCCAGAGTGTGTTGCAAAGACATGTAGGATCATTTCTGTTATATAACAACCAATTATTTTATATAGGACGTAAACAATTGACATATTTTTATTTGTATACAATTTGCGGGCATTTAACCAATTATGGAGACTGTATTTCGGCTTATGACATGAATATGGAGGTTCGTTCTTATTTTTTATTACAATATAGTGAGCAAATATGTGTCCTATTTTACTGCACTGTATGTCACATTTTCAGAAACGAAATAATTTTATAATGGTTTATGCCCCATAACAGTGAATTTTACTTAAGTGCACATGTAAATTGGACATGCCCTTACTGATCACGTTTCAATTACACATATTCATATATTGGCATACATATACACGTGCATTTGTTTTGTCAAATGGCGGTCATTTCACTACTAATAGTTCATTAATTAAGTAGTACATTTGTTTGAAGAGCCAATTCAAGAACGCCGGCTAGTGGCCATTTTACTGTCAAATATGCATAAAAAATAAGCATTTATTGTTTTCTATAGAATCCAGTTTATCCATAACCCAATGGTCATCCGTGACTCGCATAAATTTTAGCGGAAGTATACGCATTGCACGATCAAATCAACTATTTAGTGCCCTGCCAGGGTGTAGCTAAGGAAAATGGGGCAACTTCGTGGTTAGAATATAATCAGAATAATTACATTTTAATTGATTGATACGAGGGAAACTAAAAATTGCGATGATAACAGTTTTTGCTTCACATCTGTTTTTGAACATTTTCCATAAGATTCCATGTAAACTCATTATTCTATGAATAATATTCAAAATACATCACGTACACGGTGTGACACAGGAGACAAATACAAACCATGACATGTTAATACGGACAGTGAACATATATCACTCATTCGATTAATGCTGTGTTTGCCAAAAATGATCTTATGGCTAGAACATTAATAATATTATCGACATCGACCCTGATTATTTTTGAAAACTGGTTCTAGGATTCTTTTTCACGTATTTGAATACAATCCACACCCACCAGTTGTCTTTTCAAGGAACAAGACGAATATATCCATTTTTAGAGATTAATATTCAGACAATGTTTAGATCTGCAGCAAATATCTCAACCAAAGCCTCGGGAAAAGTATTTGAGAATAACCATCGACTTGATCAGTTCACAATTCAAAGTCAAATCATTGTGTCACCCTGCATCTCGCGTGATTTTATTTACGTCCGCTAATTTCAAGCGCACTAGCATAGTGCTCGACAGTCAACTCATTAATAAACAAAATAATCGAAAAGCTTCGCCTATATTATGAACCTATAGCTTTCATATAACAAGTGTAGCGACAGTGGCCACTCGTAACGGGATTTATAGGGTAGCAATTTGTGGTACTTTAATCAAATTGTAAGTTGTGAGGTGAGCGAGAAATATGTTTAGGACAATGTTAGTGATTACATACCCACCAGCTACGATCTAGGACAAACAAAATAGCAGATGCTCAATCGCGATATACATTATCAAACGACATTTAATCTTGCTAACTTCAAGCTCTTATACAGTGCGTGCACATTCTAAAATCCATAACAAAGTGGACGAGATAAGTGTATGTAACTTCTAGTGAAAACATGCCTTTATATTAAATTCTATTGAAATCTCTAATTGTTTTAATATACTCAGATGTACCAAAACTCATGTATTCTGAGTAATTAATATACAAAGAAAAATCAAATCAGCTTATCTCAAAGACCCCATGAACTAAAGGTGTGAGATTATATGATAAATATATCTGAAAATGCTAAATAATTACTACGCATATTGTGTAATCACTGAGCTGTGGGTAACTTCAAAGCAAAAATGTACAAAAAGCTAATGAAATAAAAAAAAAGAAATAATACAAAAATTAAGTGGTCATTTTACACAGAAATGAGTCGACAATTAACCATGTCCAAGTATAGAATTTCATTGAGATACTAAAGGGTACTTCTTCGAAAATAACAGAAAATATTGAAATCACATCTAATTATTATGCAAATTGAGAAATTAAAAACTAATCACAGATTATCCCACTGTATATACGTAATATATGAGTTTCATTGAAACAAGCTCTTTTTGATAAAAGTTTCAAATAAACAGAAAATGGAATTAAACGTTTAATGATGACGACTGTTATCACTCTCGTGGTGAATTCTTCATGTTCAGTGGATTTTTCAGAAATTTGTGCATTGGTTGCTCACTCGCGTAAACATACTCATGACCACGCAGTTCTAGGTGCCTCAATCCTGAAAGACCAAAACAGACATGGTAATCTGTTAGAATAGATAAATCGATATCACAGCGGAAACTTGAAAAACAAATCTTTTCATAATGTTCATTGTAGTAACAAGATAACATTCCTCTCGGGCCAGAGTAAGATAATACCAGGTAACGCGAGACGTCATGTATATTTAAAATAGAACAAACCATTAATCTATGGGGTGAAGGTTTAATATTACCACGTCACTAAGCGTCATGGTTATCACTTACCTGCAAGGGCGGATTGGAACCCTGCATTTTGGTCGCACGAAACACTACTCTGTGCAACATTTACACGACTGTCTTCGAAACTATCGTCGACATCTGGTCCTCCGACCAAAGCACCGTACAATGTATGGTGGTTAGGACCATCCCATCTGAAGCTATTCTGCCAGGTACATGGGAGAGACAAATCTGGACAAGAACTGAAAACAGAGATATTTGTTAAGTGACATTATTACATTATTGCACATATTTATAACACTCAGTGTGCCACCTGCTTCCATTTTTATATTTTTTATTGTCAATTTCCAAATTTTTCAGTCGTTATAGGTGCATCGTCCGAATCGCACGGTTTCGCTGTCTGGGGTCACAACAGATTAAAACAATGGCGGCGTGTAGGCTTTGCGATTCTTCACCAGGAGTCAAGAACAAAAGGTCTATATTCGTTGACACGTTACCACTAAACGCCTTATTTTGATGGTCAGTAAGCTCGTTCACAGAGCAAAAAGCGAGCAACGCGTTGATTTCTATATTCCAAGATTTTAATTTCACCAAGTAATGTTTCGTTTCTATAATGAGTTCTGATTGGGTAATGCAAATAAGTCCAAGTGACTCTTATAATCGTTTGAGGGCGTGCGACATACAGTGAATCGTGGTGAAATCTGCCAAGGGTTAATATTGAGGCTTCGGCCGAATAAATGGTCCTTGGCTGGCGAAGATGTTATAGGTGTTGATCAACATTTTGAAAACAAGTGTTAAACAATACGTGGGTTCATTTTATGAATGAAGTGAAACGTTGTCCTTAGTGTTCAGAGGGTTAATACAGCTCGTAACAAAATGTGTGAGGAACCTACATTCTTAGAATTTAACGTATGAACATTTTATTTGTTTTGACATTTTTTTAGAAATGATTCGATCTGAAAGATATCATCACTAGCATTTCGTTGTTTAGTATTTGTTGTGCAACACCCGGATAACTCGCGGTTGAAAATAAGAAATGCGAATATGTTGCAACAATCCAAACACATCCTGGGAAGATATTGATATATCCTGCTTTGAAATAATCAATTTGTAAAGATGTTTTTCGAAAAAAGCTCAAATAATCTTTTGAGTGTGAATACTCGGACATTTAGTTGGAAGACATAAAAATAGAAAGGAGACATAGACATAAACACACCTTGCTCTATGTCTTGGTCTTGTTGGACTTTTATGTCCGTATCCCACCACGAAACTACGTTCGGAGTCACCCAACATATAATGTATTTGCCTAACAGCAAAGCTACGGTAAACCTCGGCTTCGATTCCATAGTCGGCTGCCATCAATGCCAAGAAAGCTGTGGCGGCTGAAATCATTATGATAGAAAAATGTGAAGCATGCTGCGCATGTGTGTTTGTAGCCACATGAAATGTTAAAATTACTGGTATGTCGAATGTTTGTACAAGATACTAAAAATTATTAATATGGATACAGTGTGCTTGTGGTGGGAGAGCTGTATAGAGCTATGAGGGGATTATTATCACTCAAGCCGGAATTGTGGTGACGATAATATTATTCAAAACGTTGTCCAGTACTCTGTCATAGTATTGGAAACACGCAATTGCATATTTAGACAATTCGAGTTCAGATTTAGATATCAATTTTACGCAATTTGCATGTATTGGAACTCCCAACTCTAATGACAGAACTACTCTACAACGAAAGACTAATGGCTACATAATTCATGCAAGGTTCTCGTTTGTATTCAGACATCAAACACACACTTCACTGTAACAAAAAGAATTTTGTTTATCACATTTTCAGTTGCTTACGGTCATTGATTATAAATATCAAATCATAACATTTTACGTAATTTGTTTTTGTATGTCCAGTAATTTTGCGTAATGAGCGGAACAACCCACGTGGCAGAATGGTTGTCTTCTTTCAACAATCGCAACATAAAGAATACATTATTCAAACTCACCAGTATATCGAAGTGGTGTTTTTTTCACTCGCCATGCCAGTCCTTTTGGTGTATACTGTACTCTTTCCCCTGGCAGCCATGACTGAAGATAACGTACTAAGTAATCTCTGTACTGATTTTCACCCGTTAATATGCACATAAGCATCTATCAAGTTAAGATATAATAGACTGGTTATGGGAATGAGGTTCGATGCGGTCATACTGGCAATTCAGTAGTTATGCTAATAAATACATTATGGCTAAATTCATACAATTGAGAATATTTATGAAAATGAAAACAATAAATAAGATCATAAATTCGAGGTTAATCAAATTATATTTCGAATATATTCCTATTAAAAAGTGGGTGTATACTCACGTTAACCCCCGGTCGTTTGTCATCCCAACCGAATGCAAATGAGCGACGACTGAAATAGGATTCGTCGTACATTCTCTTTGCATCGTCCATGTACTTATTATCGTTGGTGGCGCGATACAGCCATGCAGCTGCCCATACCATATCGTCTATGTGGTCAGTCGACCTTAAAATGACAAATAATTAGTAGGTCAGAAATTTGTTGTACTTTACCATACCAGTATGTAGTAAAATGAGTAATGAATTAAGTTATGTGTGTCAGAACCAGATTGATTTAATATTCAACTGTTTGCTAACAATCTTGCGAATACTGGCTTACGGTACATACTATTTCATACGTCGAATGCTGCAAATAAAATACAGCTTAAAACACAGCTTAGTTCCCACAAAGGTACGTTCATTGAGTCACGGCATATTCCCCACGGAACGGGCAACCATATTTATTGTGTTAGAAGCCACATTTTGCAATAAATTATACCCCAGTACAATAAAAAGATATTGACTTGGGGATCACCAACCTAATTTGTGAGAAAATGATTGTTGTGTTGTGTTTTGGTTCCTATGGCAGAGATGTT